ATCTAAGATACTTTTGGGACCCATTTATGCAAAAGTTGAAGCTACCTTGTTCCTTTGGCATCTTTCTCAATTAATCAATTAGTTTTGAGTGATCGTGATTGGTTGTGATTAATACATAGGACATTTCACATGGATCTTTTATAATTTATTTATTCTATAACCAATTCTTATTATTAATGTTATTAATTAACATATTAGATTTTATATATTTTTATTTGATTAGATAAAAGTATACAATACCAGACACATAAGTCTTACTCATTATTAAAAGGATGAGCATTTTTTAAATTATATTTTAAAAAATAATCACATATTTTTGCAAGTTATAACTAAGTTAATTATATTTTTCAAATCCACGCGTATTAATTATTTAGCTCGCTGGCATACATTTAAACCAACAGAGTATTAAACTCTGTGCAAGCGTCTCACATGCTCCGTCAGATCTTATTATATATGGTGCATTTTTTTAAAGATTCTTTAATTTTTAATATAAATTATGTGATGGAGTATTACATTTTTCAATATATTATCTTTATTTAAACTTATTAATTAGGAGAGAAAGTGTGATGCAAATTTTAAAAAAATCATTTAAATTATAGAAGTAAAATTGACCATTTATTTTATTTTCAAAAAAATTTAATTTCATGTAAATTACTAGAGTGTTTAACTTTGGACGTTTTCATTTTCTTAAAATAGATTATCATGCATCGTTGTTTTAAAAGGTTGATTAAATCATGCTTAGCATCTTTCTGTTTCAAAAATTACACTCATTTACCATTTTGACGCGCACTTGCCAAAATTTATCACTTCTAATCTTTAAAATTCAAAAAGGCAATATGAGTTCTTGTATTTTTATTTTTAATTTCTTCGTAACAAAAATATTTAAATAATTTCTCAGTGGAAGTTCACGTACATGAAATTTTTCATACCCTTATAATCCGGTTCTTCAAATATAAATTATAACGGTTATATTATATACCTTGTGACATGGCTTATCTTTATTAGATAAATTATAAATAATGTGGTATATTGGATCTGCATAAGAATTTCTCTATGCACATATATATGTTGATAGAATGATCTACTAGTGTTCTTTATTTTTTTAATTAACCAGATATTGTATTTGCTTTTATATTTGCTTTCTTGCTATGTGTTGCCGTGAATTCCTTCCCGTATAATTTGAGTTAACATATTGGTTCTTGCTATATATAAATTGCACTGTTAATTGAACATTGAAGTACGGCGTTGGTTGGGTAAATACTAAATGTATATTTTCATTGAAATTACTTTTCAGAAATTGGCGAGAACGTACGCTCCAAAACATCTTATATACAGAAATGCTTAATAATGTATTTGGATTTCAATTGGCAAAAACTGATTAACAAAATGTGATGGTATTTGGATAATATTTTTTGAAATTAATTTTGATAATTGAAGATATTTGAATAATTTTTTAGAATCAATTATAAAGAGGGGAAAAATGAAAAATGCTCAAATGTTAATAATTGATTATCAAATGAAGAAAAAAAAAATAGCTCATACAAAATGAAGTTTCACAGGTCAAATGAAATTTTACAAAAATGAGAGTGTTTAGATAAGTTTTTACAAAACTACAGTTTTGGCCCCCAAATTGATTCCAATGGAAATCCAAATAAGCCCTAGGATATTAATGAAAAATTCTTAAATAAATCAAGTACGTCATGTCACTTATGATTTGTTCATTAAAAACATAACACTTAAATAACATTAAATATAAGTTGATTCTAACATTAATGATATTAGGAAGATAAAATTGAAGAAATTAAACATGCATTATGTTCTAAGAGTAAAATTAATTAAAATAATGTCACATAAAATTTTATTTTGATGACTTAGGGTATTTTAATTGGACAGGCCACAAATAATATGGCACACCCAATCTACTTAATTTTTCATGATTAACTTCTTCCAATGCTCATACATAAACATGGCTTATTGATTTGTAAGGAAATCAAGTAAAGAAGTATGGTGGTATAATTTTAATCGCTTGAGAGTTTTGCTGTAATCATGATAAGAGTTGGCATAATTAAGGGAAAAAAATTATTGGCCAACCAAATTAATGGAATTGAGAATAAGTTCAAGAGTAGGCCTTCGGCAAATCGCTATAGTCAGTTGTCGTGGTCGGTTCGATTCTCTTTTTGGTGTCCCCCCATTGGTCCCATTTCTAAATTATCTTTTTGAACTGGAGCCAATTAATTAGTGGGTTTCAATTATTTAAATTTATTAGTCAGTTTTATATGTTCCCCTTAATTATTAGTAATATATATACTTATACTACACGATAATATTACGTACTTTCGAAACAAATGATGGATAAAGAGATACATTATTTTTAATTTATTCGTCCGAGTTGTTTAGCCACGCGGAAAAAAATATATCTATATTTTTAAAAAAGGATTATTTCCAATTGAATTTCATTACATTGAGTTGAATTTAATTAAAATCTGCGATCAACTCAATTAGACTGGATTAAATTCTCGCGCAAATCAAATTCACAAATATGGTCAAAAAGAATGATAAGGAGTACGTTTGGGTCCATAGGTTTTGATCTCAATCAAAGATTAAATATTAGTGGTACTCACAATATTGCAAACTCAAGTTTGAATTTCCATTAGCACAGGTATCACAATTAGTGTCCAATAATATCTGAAACAAAATTATCTTAAATAAAAAAATACATGTATATAACACACACAAAAAAAAAACCAGAAGTCGTAAAGATCTCACAAAAACAACAACAACAACAAGGGCACAAGGCTTACTTTCTGTTTTGGCCAACATAAAGAACACTTTTGCTTGGCTTGCTATTTATAGCTGCATACTAAACTCCCTTCTAATTGTGATTTAATTTGTGATGGTAAAATTAATTTTTTTCTATAGCACGTATTTTTCAAAAATAAATTATAAAATGAAATGTGAGTCTATTTAGGAAAAAACTTATATATTTAGTCTTATATATTTAAATTTTTTTATTTTTAATTAAATTAAGATATGTCAATGTCTTATAGATTATTTATTTCATAATAAATTTTCATTGTTGATATTATTAACACGTTAAAATTCACTTGTCTTAATTTGATTGGATAAAAATTTATTAAGTATATAAATCTGGGGAGAAATTACTAGATAAATCAAGTCCACTGCATCATTTATGGTCCATTCAATGTATATAAAGCTAAGTATATAATCGCTTAGTGCACTATCTTATTTATGGTTTGTCCAATAAAAACATGCCTTGTTGATGATTGGAAATATAATTTTATTTTGTCATGATGGAGAAAGAAAAGATAAGAAAGGAAATTTCAAAAATAAAATCATTAGAAATAATAACACAAGATTTTATTTGATTCAATTGGTGTTAACATTACATGTTTTTATTAAACAAACCATGAATAATGTGATGCACTAACTGCGTGCAAGAATTTTCCTTTATAAGGGTTAATTCAAGTGGAAATATGAAATAAGATATTGAATGGAAACTCTCCTTACTATATACTTAATAACATCTCATAAAACAAAAAATATCACGCACACTCACATATATTAAAAAACGAAATAAGGACATCCAACCAAATAACATTGAATAAATTAAAATTAAACTATATAATTCTCTGGTTTCGCCATCATAAATATATCTGTTGCAAACAATACTGAAGAGATGGTGGTGATACCAAAACTAACTCGGTGAACCAAACCATGTCCTCTTTGAAGCCATGGCAACGAACAGATCTGCAACTTTATCATTTCATTTCATTGGGAATAATTAGGAAAATAAGCAAATGTCAAGCACCCCCGTCTAATAACAGGTTGCCGAATATTACAATTACTACTATTAACCAAAACGTCTCTGCACTGGAGAGTGGAGAATCCATTGTTTATCTTCTTGTAAATATTATTCACTACTAGGATATTAAGTATAAGTGCAGACTTAATGTGACAAATCTCACATTAGATAGAATTAGATTTAAAGACATACATAAAAGTGTTAGGATCTACAAATTCCCCATCTTCGAGTGGCACCCTCCATTTTTGTTCGTGTTTCTTATGACTGATATCAAAGTCCAATTTTACTCCAGATTATATAAAGATGTCAAATTAAAATTAAAACTGATATAATTGCACACCATCATTTGAAGAGTAGAAAATGAGACTAGCCATTATTCCCAAATTTTATAGCTAAACCTTCAGTTTAATTTGTGCCGTCCTTTCTATAAGCTGAACTTCCACATCGCCACTACAAAGCCAGATACAAGGTCAATCCCTACAGTCATATTCACCACAAGGAATACAAACACACAACACGATGAAGATAGGCATAATACCATCACCAGTCATAGAGAAAAAAGCATATAATGCTACGTGGAGAGGGGATAACGATGATTCTTTAAAGTTTAATATTAAGATCAATGATTAAGAGTAGATTCTTGCCTTCACTTGCAATGGACTGAAACTAATAAGAAAATTAGCATTGAATAATAAATATACCAGCAGATTTTTTTCTTTTTTGACCATGCAAAATGCGGATTGGGTTACTTGAGTGGTATATTGAAAATGAAGGAGGGGACAAAGAGGGGTCAGATGTGAAAGTATTTTTATATGCGAGAAATTGTTTTGAGGGGTAAGAGAAGAGAGAAGATAAAAGGGAGGGAAAATGAGAAGGGCAGTGTGGTCAGAGGGAAAGGAAGCGTCATTCAAGACTACAGGGTCAAGGAACAGAATCATGTTATTCCCTCAATTTTTACCCCTCCAAGCTTTTTCCTCTCTCTCTCTCTCTCTCTCTCTCTCTCACCTACTGTCCAAACCCTTTCTTTTCCCTATTTCCCCAAAAGCCCTAATCCTCTCTCTCTCTCTCTCTCTCTCTCTGAATTCAACCACCGCATTCACATACACACACAGGATGAAAAATATTAAGGGCCACTAACAAGTGATACATGCTTTGAGTTGGCTCCGCCCCTTTTAAGGCAAAAAACCCCAATCCCTTGCCAGCCTCAGAAATCAAAGAAAAACAAACCCACCAGCACTCCCTGCCATGCCCCTCTTGGACCCTTTCTAGTATCACTCAATAATAACTACAACTGCAACACAGCAAACAGCCACAGTCCACTCACACTTCCCATCAATCTCTTCACCATCATAATCTCCTTTTGCTTCACCATTTTCAGCTCTCCCCTCTCTTTTGGTTTTCCTCTTTTCCCTTCACCATGGCGATCTAGTTGGTTTCTTTAAAAGTTTATACAGTAACTGGTAAAAAAGATTAATTTTTTTATTAAAATAAATTCCCAAGCAACGTGACTGCTCCACTGTTACCCAAATTATAAGTATATCGATGGATTCCGTCATATTTTAATCTCATCCAATCTCCATTTCTCGGCTTCTCGCTCAGTCTCCTCCGAGTCTGTCACTGTCTTAGGAACCCTAGATAAGCGTTCAAGTTGAACCGAGGAGACAATCTACGCACTCGTACGAAGTGAATATATTGCCTTGGATCTGCTTGTCCCAGAACACGTCTAGGTTTCTTTCCTTCTCATGGATTCAATTCAAGAATTCATGGACACGTGTAACTCCGACAACACCGGCAGTCTTACCCATGCCACCTCCGCTAGCGGCGGCAGCTTAGCCGCCAGCTCCTCCTCCTCAGCCTCCCCCGCCACCACCAGCAGCCGCTACGAGAACCAGAAGCGCCGTGACTGGAACACCTTCGGTCAGTACCTCAAGAACCACCGACCCCCTCTGTCCCTCTCCAGGTGCAGCGGTGCCCACGTTCTCGAATTCCTTCGGTGCGCCACAAGAACTCTCTTAACTCACTCGCTGATACACTTCGAATTTACTATGCAACACAAAGCACTCTATTTTCCCCCTTTTGTTCAATCCGTATATAGTATGTGTGTTCGTTATATTTTCGTTTTGCAGGTACCTAGATCAATTTGGAAAGACCAAAGTGCATACACCGATCTGCCCCTTTTACGGCCACCCGAACCCTCCAGCGCCGTGTCCATGCCCTCTCCGACAGGCATGGGGCAGCCTCGACGCGCTTATCGGTCGCTTGAGAGCAGCTTTTGAAGAGAATGGGGGCAAGCCTGAAGCCAACCCGTTTGGAGCTCGAGCGGTGAGACTGTACCTTCGCGAGGTTCGTGATCTGCAGTCGAAAGCAAGAGGGATTAGCTATGAGAAGAAGAAGAGGAAGAGGCCGCCGCCGCAGCCGCAGCAGCAACCTCCGCCACCAATGCCTCTCCAGCTACCTCATCATCTTCATCATCACCATCATCTCCCACCTCCAGGTGCAACTCAATAAGCTAGCTAGCGAATTGATGATCAATTCCTTGTTGCCATGGACAAACTCTACTCTCGCTCTTTCTAGTATAATACCCAGGTGGGGGTCTCTTCCTCCCTTGGTGATTTGAATGGGCTTTTAGAGTCATGCTCCTTAGTGCTAGTGCTCTACTTTAGTGTTATTTAGGGTTGGCTCCTTTCCTTTCCTTTGCTTCCCCCCTCTCCCCTCAGTTAATTTTTCTAAATGCTTTTCTCTCTCGCTATATAGACTGTTTGTCTTTGTATCCTTTTCATAAACCAGAAGCAAAAGGTTAAAGATCATCTGGGATATCATGAAAATCTGCTTTTGATGCAAACGCTGTGGGACTCATGTTTTAACACACTGCTAGTGGAGTACTGAAAAGCGGGAGTCATGAGAGTTAATGTACATGGAGGTCATGATCATCCTTCTATATCATGAGAGTGTGTGTGCCATTATTATTCATATAGTTCTACCTAATGTAGTTGGATATATATATATATATCCTATGTCAAGCTTAGGCTTGAAGATAATTATGTGACTTTGATCATTCTTACTTCTCTCTTTTGGGGCATCACTTCAATTTGCCATTTTCTTGAACGCGTTAATTAGTTTAATTATTTGCTATCCATGGATCCAGCTAGTGTCACGATATATATCTACAGCTATTGGATGCTATTAAATTAGCAAGTGATCACGCATTATATGCATCTTTTTGAGTCAGACAGACATTCACAGATTGATGTGTCTTTGCTGATCTGGAAATGAGTGATCTTTTCTTAATTTCTTTCTCTCCCTCCCTCCCAAGTTGCCACTTTTACTGCTTTACTGTCTCCCCACAAGTGCATCTTTGCGGAGAAAGAATGATAGAACACTTAAAGCTTAATCATAATAAGTTCTGATCCATGATTCAGAACTGACAAAATTTTTGTTTTCTCCCATCAAGACTTAACATTAACTGCTGACCGTTAACTGAGTCAATTTGAGGGATGATGTTGGTTTTTCCACTAGTGCTGTCTTTTCAACTGAAAGGAAATGACCAAAAACATTAATGGCAGACAGTATAATTTATTCCTCCGTGGCTAAAACTTCTACTATAATTTACCTATAATAATATGATCGCAGTATCATTTGCTGGTCACATATAGAACCGTGACGAGGTCTTTGAACTAGAAGTTTAGAACTACTCCTTCTTTGTATGACATAACTTTCTATTATATTCCCTTTTGATCATTTTAGTTAGGTTTGCCAGATAGCCTGGTGGCGGTCTTCAAACTACTCGTTTGAAATGACCCGGTGAAATCCAGAAATATTTCAATCGTCATAACGTATCAATTTAATTTTACAGAACATGACAACAATTAGGTAGACGTAGATTTTCACCCAGCTGGTTAGAAGTAGCTAGGGGCAGGAATTATTAATTATGCCTGAATATAAATTCTACGTTCTTCTATTTAATTAATTAGGAAAATTAAACTTGTCTTCGCCGTTTAAGCCAATAATAAATATAATATATATATATATAGTGGAGTAATTTAATTAATAAAGAAGCTATAAGATGTGATTAATTAATTCAATTAACTAGAAAGAGTGGAGTAATCAAGTAGTCAGATGCTCACAGGGAAGAGAATTTCTGAATGAATTTGGCCGACAACTGTCTGTGACTGGATATAATCAATTTGAGTCACTGCCCTTGGATTTTGTGATCATTTAGGCTCAAAATAAGTGTTTTATCCGCATATCCCTGTGTTCATGAAGAGTCACCTATTTTTATCACCATTTAGCCAAGACCAAAATACCCAATGGGACACAGGATAGATGCTGGAGCTCAGATCAGCGAACCTTCTTAATTGTAGTCCCTTTTTAAGTGATTCTAGTGGGGTATACATGATCAGACTACCACTTTTAGACATAGAGGATCTATTCTTCTCCTAATCATTTAGATATATCACAAGTTTAGACTTTAGGCGGGATGATTTATATAATGTTGTGCTAGCTTGGGGAAGGATCCCGATATTTAATAATATAATAACGCATTGTGTTTATCAAGCCATCATTTTTCTAATTTATTAATTACAAAATTAATGATTCTGTTACGATCTTACAAATATTTTATCAGAGTCGGTTGCCTTAATGATCACAATTCTAGGTCAGGTCAAGGTCGGAGAAAACTCCTAACTTGTTATTGTTATAGCTTGCTCCATAATAAGCATCCCGGAAATTCCTCATATTCAATGCTTTCAGTTTCTCGTGATTATATATCTATTTCTGGCTTTCCACAAGATCCCTAAATTTCGTTCATAGTGTTGGGTTATAGCATAATTAACAAGTTGAGTTGTGAAGATCCAAGAGATGCTCAATCATCCAGTTCATCCACTTCCTATTCGGTCGGCTCTTGACCGTTGTAGTAGCAGTTGAATGCATGAATTTAAAAAAAAAATCATATATAGTCATTTGTCGCGTTATAGTAGTCATATTCTCTTGATCTAATTTATAACAGGTATTGTTAGTTTCTGAGTAGGTTAAATATCGCGCTAGTGAGACAGAATTCGTTTGCATCTATGATTTTAGTTAGTCTCACATGACGTGTTCTTTAACTTTATATTTCCCATTCACAAAATCGTAATATATCTGAACAATGATTCACCTCTCGTTCATGAATAGGGTTTCGCCTACAATATAATTGATCTCAACATTGTTCAGTTCAGTTCAGTTCAGTCCAGTGTAATTAATATGCATGGAATGTCTAGCACTGGCCTCTACAATGATTGGTGTTCCATCCCAAAAGGGATTTTAATTAAACTTGGTGTCTATGTGCGTGTGCGGCTGTGTGCACTGTAGAAATGCACTGTGCATCCATACGTATCTTACTTTAGTGTCTACAAACAGCCAAATATCATTCAAGCTATGGACGATGAATGATGATAACGCGCGCCATTTCTTCAACAATACTCCGGCCTCCTAGTTACTCTATCTTCACATACCACTTTTAGAACTCCCCCGAGTCAAAACGTTCCGACATCAATGTCTCCTTTCACAAATTTCTTTTATGTGCACTGTACTCGTATAAATATTCAACTAAGCGTGACTACTGATGAAGCCAGAGTATATGTATGCTTATATATACAGTGGCAGTGTAAGAAATTACAGGGACAGTGTTTTATCAGCTATGTTCGCAAGTACAATAAACACAAACACATAGCTTCAGGGCAGCACAGTAAAGGTTGCAAATCCCAAAGCCGTCGGGATTGTTGAAATAAATATATATTAATAAGGAGGATCTTATGTCGTCGAATATCAACAAAAATAATCATAAAAAGTATAATTAAAGAGAGAATATATAATAAAAACAAATAAGTCCTACAAACATAGTTTTTATAATTATATCTCCTCAATTAATTATATGATTGAAGCTAATCTTTAAAGGTAAAAACATGTATTAGCTTGCTAATCGAATTCCACAAGCTAGGGCACTTTCTGGTTCGATTATGCATCAGTGCAGAGTCGAGTATGAGTGTGTGCGTGTGTGTGTCTATAGGCGTGTCCAAGCTGGTAGCATGCTTCCACTGAGGGCGAAGCGTCATTAGAAAATCACGATCCTCGCATTTATAATGATGACATTTGTAATCTGTTCTTCCTTTCCTTTTAAATCATTTTTTAATTGGGAGATGAAATAATTGATCATTGATTGGTTAAGTGCTGGCCGACAGAAGTCAAAAGAGGCGGGACCCACCTTTTCCAGCCTCAAGCCCGCCGCTCAACTAAATAATTTCATCTCATAATTATGATAATCTTTACAAAATGACAGGAGATTTTCTATTATACATCAAAGCCAAATAACCAAAAGTAGTGTTTCTCAGTCCTTTGAATGAAATTATTGCCCTTGATCAATCAACAGACTCGGAGACTTTCTTTTTGCCACCGAGTTAGGATCTGATCAGAGCTTTAAGCTAACTAGCTGCGATTTGATTTCTTGTGAGCCGTGGATGGAGAGAGTGACGTGGAAATAGTAAAACGAGAGAGTAATTGAGTAGAAGCGAAGTAATAATACCTATCTGTGTTCACGAAAGCAACAGAGAGAAATTAAAGTGAATCCCACATGCTTGTTTTCAACTACTCCAACAGTATGCCAAATCCCTTGGCGCTCTTTTGAGTAATGTCTCTCCGGGGTCTTCCAACGACGTCGTACGGGCCACGGCCTAGCATAAATCCCCTGCAGAGTGCGTGTGTCTGTGTGTGATGTTTGATTTTTGATTTTTTTTTAATGAAATATTTACCATGATGATACATGATGCACACGTACGTGCCCGATTAGATTTACAGACACACGTTCACACAGGGATGTCCAGGCCAGAGTGTGGTTGGATCATTTATGTAGCATATATTTAAAAAAAATATAAACATTTTTTAAAAAGTGATGTTAAAAATTTAAGACATTTTTAATCTTTTGAGGTGTAATCATTATTTTTTTAAATACCTCTATTGATAATAACTTTATATTTATTGTAAGGTATTTAATAGGATGACTATAAAAAAATAAAATTAATTTAAAAATAAATAATTATTTTATTAAAAATAAAATTTGATTAAAAAGATTTTATATTTTAAACGAATGGAGGATCAGCCGATCAGGTCAGTACTGGTGGTGGTGGTGCTGTCCAGATGGAACATTTCGACCAAACTGTTACGTAATAATTCAAGACAAAAGAGGAAGCTACAGCAAGAGTAATCTCAATAAATTCATCCATATGCAAGTATTAACTTTCACTGTTAATATATATTCCTTCTGCCACTAATAATATTAATTTAGTAGTAATATTAATAGTGGCCTAAAATATTGTCAACATTTTTATTTTTTTAATTTTTACTTAAAAATTAATTATTTTATTTAATCCAAAAAAATATAAATATGCTTTTTGAAATACTTAAAAAAATGTAGGTGACCTTTAAAATAAATCCTGAATAAAAATAAGATCAAAATACATTTTGAATCTTACCTTTGAGTTATTTTATTGAATAAAAATATAATAATGCGAATATTTGTTTTTTTTTAAAAGAAAATTCATCCATATGGATGGCAGAGCAGGTCACAGCAAAATTTGTACCAGACTGCAAGATGTAGTATTAAATAATGTGATTTGATGAGTACTATCGACGCTTCCCCGCATTAATATTTTGTGTCTGCCTTCAACAACAACCAATCTTCTTCATTTCTTGATCACACACTCGGAACAATCGTTTTTGCTTCATTATTGTCAACCTTTTTAGATGTAGGTTCTGTGACTTTTTGCAAAATTTAATTAAGAGCGTCTCAGTAAATATGAGAGATACAAGAATGTATGTGTGAGCAAAGAGATATGGGTGATCTCTAACTACTTTTTCTCTCCATTATTTCTACACTGTAAATCTAAACTACTTAAATTAAATATGTACTTTAAAAAAATTGTTAAATTTAAACCACGAAGTTCGATTTAACAATAGAACGTATAATGATCACTTCTCAATTCTTCTCAGCAAAGAAGAAAAGCTAACTGGGGTTCGATAGAAGCCAAAGGAGAGGAGGGGAGCAGTAAAGCT